GGTAAATGGATATAGGATTGCAGCCTTAACATACAGTAAGAACAAAGAGATACTAAGTACCAATTTCAATAATGTTTATCATTTTCAGATGCTCAGAGGAATTAAAAGGTGTGAGCAGTTGCTTCTATTTATAAAAAAAAATTGTGCATGAACTCCAGCACCTTTCCCTCAACTATTATTAAAACCATGATTATTCTCTTCGTGATACACTATATTAATTTTAATAGCTTTTAATAGCTCATTCCCATTTATTGGGAAACATCCACTGCTTGCTCTATTTTGATTTTAGATATTTGGATACCTATTAAAGCCAGATAATTTTGTTTATACAAAACATGTCACATCTATGTAAGTAAATCAACTGAAGCATCTCAGTGGCATGTTTTTTGGTTTAAGAGAGTAAGGTTGAAACCCCCCACTGACATATAAGCACATGATCAGCCAGGAGTCTTATGACACCCTGGTGTGGGGTGAAGGTGGGGTGTTGTCCTACAGCTTCCCTGAATTTCTGAGCATGTGTGGATACATGGATGAATCTCTGCATCACATGAATAGCTGTTTCTGTGAAGTAGCATGCCCACTGTCTAGCCCAGGGGTAGGCAACCTTTCTCCTTTAAGGGCCGAGGGACTTCAGCTCCCAGAAGCCTCAGCCATGTTGGCCAATAGTCCCATGTTGGCCAACAGCTCCTGGGATTCTGGGAACTGAAGTCCCTCGGCCCTTAAAGGGGAAAGGTTGCCTACCCCTGGTTTAGCCTGAACAAGAAGAAGGGCCCTCCCTCCATCCACCATCATCTGGAAGGAGAGAAGGCAGGCCATCTCCATTGGGCCTAGCCTGAACAAGAAGAAGGGGCCTCCCTCCATCTATCTTCATCGAGGGAGAGAAGGCAGGCCATCTCCATCAGGCCTGGCCACAGTAAGAAGAAGGGCCCTCCCTCCAGTCCATCTGCCTTGGTGCAGGCTTTAGAGGGAAAAATGATCTACTGGACTTATTCTCCTTCCCCACCTCCATTCCCTTCTCCTTTTGTGTCTTGTCTTTTTTAGATTGTAAGCCTGAGGGCAGGGAAATGTCTAATTAACCATTTGTAAGCTGCTCTGATAGCCTTTTGGCTGAAGAGCGGGGTATAAATACATAATAATAGCAATAATAATAATAATTGTTATATCAAAATTGCTCAAGTTCCGTTAAATACCATGACATATTAAAATATATAATTATTAGATAAAATAGCAAAATCAAGGTTTGATTTTTTTAATTTATCTATTATTTTGAATATTTTTAAGCCATGGCTGGTTGAATCTGTGGATATGGAGGGCAAACTATATGTTTCCACTTGGTACATGGTCACTTGTATTCTGCCTCAGCTCTGAAACAAACTAGGCCAATTACTAACTGTTATAGGCCTTGTCTACACTACCTAAAAATTCATTAAAAAAACTCCTTCCCCCTAAATCTGATGAAATAAGGCCACGTAATGCATGACTCTGTCTGCCCCAGATTTGGGGTATACTCCCTTATTGTGAACTTTCAAAGTTTCTTCCAGAGTTTGCACCTCTGTCCCCTCTGCTCTGCCACTAGTGTCCCCGCCCCTGCTGTCATGTTAAAAGTGCTTTTAAACAAGTTAAAAGTGTTTTTAAGATGGTGGCAAAACATCGGAAAGAAACTCTGCTAGAACATGGCCACACAGCCCGAAAAACCCACAAAAAACTGCAAAAGTGTTTTGTTTTTTCTTTGCACCTGCCACATTGCTGCCTCCACTGCCACCTTCATTTCCTGCCCTGAACTGAGTTTCCCTTCTCCCCCCTTGTAATCTGGGCAACTTGTCTAGCAGTGGTGGTGGCAGTGGGGACTACAGGGACGTTTTAAGGTGACACAAGATGTGGCGGGGGGTACTGGTGGTGACAGCGTGGAGGAGGGGGAAACAGAGGCAGTAGCAGACCTAAAACTCCACAGGGACAGTCAGATAATGTAGACAATCTACCCAATGATCTTGCAGAGAAAAAAATTGTGTGGTGGCTCTGGGGTGTGTGCAGAGGCAGGAGGGGACAGGATTACATTTGGACTTTTGCCCATAGTACAGACTAACTTGCAGAACTCCTAAGGATAGTGAATGTACTCTGGATTTTAGTCCAAATTTTAAAGGAGCTATCAGAGGCACTGGACTGTATCCCGCAAACTAATTCAGCAGCTCAGATAGCTCCTTTAACATTCAGACTAGAACCCAGAGCAGATTCGCCATCCAGCTGACATAGAAGCCCCAGCTGCCACTGGTTCCCAGGAGAGAAAAAAAGAGACAGACAGATAGATGCCAGCACCAGATCAGATTACTGGCCCTGTTATCCCTGATCACCTTTTGGGCAACTGGTTCAATTCTGGACTCTTTTCTCCTCTGTCAGGAGGAAGAGGAGGAGCCCATTAAATATCGACCACCTGATGAATGTAACATTAACACTTAGTGAGCACACTACTGTTGGGTCTATGCTAACAACATATCAGATCCAATATGCTCTCCCCTGCCACTTTCTGTACCAAAAGTATATTGACTTTCCAATAATTATACACCTGTAATGCTGTATCAGTAGGCAATTTACTGCAGATTAAGCAAGAAATAATTTCAGTTTTGGAATGGATTTCGGATGCCTTGTCATCCATCACTGCATACCTAAGTTGATTTTTATTTTAAAACTGATTACGTATTTCAAGATGAAACAAGAGACAGCCAAGAACTTCTGGTTATCTCCTGGAGCTCTATTTTCCAGCTTCACTGTAATAAGATGATTAGCTCATCTAAACACATGTGACTAACATGAATTTAAGAGTTTATCTCCTCATTCTCAGTATCAATGACAGTATAAATAAGTTCACAATATGGAAGCCATAGAGAAAATAAATCTGACATAGAGCAAAGTAGGGTGTGTTTGATACCATTTAGAAGTATACAACTTCATCCATTAAGCTATAACCACAGGACTAGCAGAAATCAAGAGTAATATATGGTCTCCCTCCCTCCCTGTACTGATTTGAAAATTTTAATTTGGATGGCGGTTCATAACAGAAATTGGGGAGTCACTCAGTCCCCACACCTCTGTGGTCTCTTCTTTGCCTGTCATTGATCACCACCTAAATATTTACACTGAATTGGAAACAGGAAGAACCAATCATACTGTATGGGAATAACAGCCATTGGTTTCACCAGTCTTTTTCCATCTTCAGAAACAAAAGCTTTACAAAGCCATCAGATCATATTATAATACACATTCAACCCATGCTGGCAACACTGATAACTGAAGATGATAAGCAGGATTACATGGTTTGAGATTTCTGCAACTTAATTCCTTCTTCTTCTTTTTTTGAAATCTAATACCACAGGGGACTGAAATATGCCTTAGCATTCGCTTCTTTTGCAATCTGAAACTTCGGTTAAGTTGAAAAATACATGTTTTGTCCTAAGTATTATTGACTACTAAAGGAAGCATCCATTGTATATTACAAAGTAATTATTAACACTGTAATGGACAAGAACCATGCAATCGAAATCACACACTAAGCAAGACGGAGAAGCCAAGAACACAGAGAATGAAAATTTCATTGACCTGATTTGTCAGTGATGTTGATCATGACTGGAGTAGCTGAGCCATTCACATTGGCCTTTGCGCTGTCCTTCGAAGCACCAGCTTTTGGTCTATTTTTCGTTGCTTCTAATGCTTTGACCTTCTTTGCATGTTTACTTCCTTTGTAGTGGGCCTCGGCTTGGCTCTACAAAGGAGAACAAATCAGGATCATAATCCATACTTCATATCATTCAGTGGATGATCATGTTGAAATAAAAGTTGCATAGTTTTCAATAACAGGCACCACCACACTCCTTTGATTTTGCAGGATTTGTTACTGATTTTGCTTTTTTTTTGTTTGTTTGTATCCAGGATATAAATACAGGACTTTAAATGAGATTTTAAAAACAGATTTTAGTTCTATGGCTTACTCTGTAGTGATTTTAGTAGAATTCTATTTGAAGTTTCATCAAGGAAAATATAAGATTTAAAATATATGTATGTCAGACTTTTAAGGCCCAATTCTGTTTAGAGTTAGAAGTGACAAACCCCTCTGAAATCAATAAATTGGATTAAGATGTAGGGTTTGAATAAAGTATGAGTAATTTAAGATACACTGATTTCAATTGTTCCACTCTATATATGACTAACTATGGATCCATCCGAATGGATTTAAGTGAATTTAGTTCAAGGTCATCTTGGCAACCTATTTATCTTTCCAATTTCCCCTGAGCATAGTTGTAAATATACTGCAAATTTGCTTGGTCCTTGTGCCCTGTTTGTCTTAATGCAACTTGGTGACCCATCAAGCCTGAATGAACCACATCTGTCATGTATTTTGGCCTGTTATGTTAATGGCTCTCCTTTTCCCTTACTAGGTCTTGCACTTCCAGAATTGCTGCAAACATGAGATACTTATTGAACCCCTCTAAATGTCTGGTGGATTGCATTCAGCTTGGTAGTACACAAACTAAACTAAGCTACAAAGAGTTGCCTCATTAAATGCCAGCAAATTTATTAGCCTTTCTGATCATTATCATCATAATTCATGGACACAGGAGTTCTGATGAATAACTTGAGTGGTGCTTCATTTTAGTGGTGGAAACAAATCCACATAGATCTTCTTTCTCTACCAGATAAACAGGAGGGTTGGGATCATCAGGGTGCATCCTTTCTTGTCGGACCAATTACCAAGATGACCATTACCAAAATTACCAAGGATGTGAAGGAGGAAACTGCCTCAGCATTAGAAATTTATCATTAAATATCCTTAACCTATATTAATGAATGGAGTGGAGAATATAGCTACTTGTTGTTGCTGTGTGCCTTCAAGTTGTTTCTGTCTAATAGTGACCCTAAGGCAAACCTGTCATGGGGTTTTCTTGGGAAAATCCTTCAGAGGATGTTTGAGATAGTATGATTTATCCAAGATCAGCCCAGTAGGTTTACATGGCTGAGCAGGGACTTGAACCCTGGCCAGCAAAGTCATAGTCCAATGCTCAAACCACTACACTGGCTCTGCTATATTTACTTTGTTGTTGCTGTATGCGTTCAAGTAATTTCCAACTTATGATGACCCTAAGGGGAAGCTATCACAGGGTTTTCTTGGCAGATTTCTTCAGAGGGGGCTTGTCATTGCCATCCTCTGAGGCTGAGAATGTGTGACTTGCCCAAGGTCACCCAGTGGGTTTATATGGCCAAGCTGGGATTTGAACCCTGGTCTCCAGAATCATAGTCCAATGCTCAAATCACTATGCCATGCTGGCTTCAATCCTATATTTACTATATGTACCACTATAGCATTATTCGTTACTAAAATGTTTTTCTCCTAAGAGGAAGGAATGCTCACTTTCTCCTCCTAGCATTTTCTGATATTTAAATTCTGCTTTAAATAACAGAGCATGAGTGTGCCTGTGTCTTTATTGAAATATACATATTAGGTATTAAAGTTAATGATGTGAGAGCAATTCAAGTAAACACACAGGACATCCTTTCCCTTAGTACATTAATTGGAAAAGAACTGCATTCATTTCAACATGTTTAGAAAGCATGCTTCTCATAAATGATACAAAGAGATGGCTAGAATATTGTACTTCATACATAGAAATACAGTGCAAGAGACATTTCTTGTATTGTGCATTGTACTGTTGAGAATCAAATGGCTGATGAGGATTAGGAATACTGCCCCTTTGTTCATAGTGTTAAAGTGAAAACAAGCCATAAAAATAACAGCACAAATTTTTTTGACACCTTTCTTGGATTTCAAACCCTCAGGGTGTTGTTAAAGTTTTGTTGCTACAGGAAGGACAACTGAATTAGTCTTAGTGTAACTAGGTGCCATTGAACAGGCATCCTGAGACTTCATGAAATAACAAGAGCCTTGTCAATGGAGTATAAGCAATGATGGGGAAGCACAGATGGAATGGAAAGGAAAGCACATGTCTGTGTATGGCAACAGTCCTCGTGGCACATACTTGCACAACTGAAATCACTGAAGGTAAAACAGCCATTAAGATGCAACAGTTAGGCTAAGGAGCACATAATGCAAAACACAAAACTCCTCCTACTCTAAAAGGAAGGAAAACATACTATATATTTCTATGCCCATTTTTAAAAAACTGTGCAGAAACTAAATATAAAAGATAAGCATATCCAGACACATAATGCTATGTTGATAAAATATTGGCTACAATATTTATCACAGAGAGACTAAAGATGATTGTAAAAATAGAAGAGAATGCCAAACCTTTTCAGGATTATCAAGTACCATACAAAAAGAGAATGGAGTTGCTAAAACAATTAACAGCCCAATCCTAAACATGGTTGCTTGAAAGCAAATCCCATTAATTTAAATAGAATTTCCTTCCAAGTCAATAAGCTTAGGACTGTAAAGTTAATTGAACAATCATTTCCTTTTACATGTACATCCTTAAAGGGACACTGGTCCATTTAAAGCTAAACCTTTGTCAAAATACCCAATTTTTGACTTAATCCTTCTGTACATATATACTCTTACAACAGTGTAAGAAACTACCGTACATTGTATGGTTAATAGCTGTAGTATAAAGAAGGCTAATATTTAAATTATTGTTGTATTTTATTGTATGTTTTAATTTATAATTGATTTAATAATTTTTTAAGGGGGGAATTAGATTTTATAGTTGTATGTATATTTTATTCTTGTTAGCCGCCCCGATTGATCTTAAAGGGATGGGATATAAATAAACTAACTTTATTTATTTATTTATTTATTTATTTATTTATAATATTAGTGCCTTAAGCTTTTGCTTTTGAAATGCAGCTTTTAAAATAGGTTGTGTGTTGTTGTTTTTAAACTACATACTCCTCCGAAGTAAATTGTACTATTGCAGGGTCAACCTAGACTTGAATTCTATCACAGCTTGGTGTGGTATAGTTGCTTCTTGTTCAAAAAGTAGCTGGCATCGGGGTTGGGTGAGGGTGGGGTCATGATGTGAAGAAGGCATTAATGCTCTGCCACTACTGCAGTTCCAACTGCTCCCATTGCTGCTCTTTACAATGGGAAAAAGTCTTTGATTGTTACCAATGGGAGCTTTCTTCCTATTGTGAATAGTGGTTGGCTAGGTGTCTATGTGTACAATTCTGATCTGGATTCCCATAGGGGCAAAACGTTACCCCATCTCCTTGATCCAGCTCAATCTCAAGCACCTACTCCATCTATTTGTTTAAATAAAGCAGGTACTCAACACCACCCTGCATGATAATAAAGCCAAATGCAATGCTGTCAATAGGAGAATGCGGTGGTGAGGACTGCACAAAGTGATAGCCCAGAAGAGGGCTGACACCCAGCCAAGCGCCCCGCATCTCCCTGCTGTGTGCCATAGAAGAGGCCCCAACACACCCCACCTCCTTGCCCAGCCCCGTTTTAGTCATGAGTAAAGCAGTGCTGGGCAAGGAGGAAGAGGGAATAGCCTTTTGGCTCTACCCCCTGGAGTGACACCCCAGACTGGAATGCTACTGGCCAAATGTAGGTTGAAGTCCTCTGGTCTAGATACTTTCTATATTCCTGTCTGCTACCACATTTCCCAGGACAGACCTCTACTGATTTTTCGTTTTCTTTTTAGTTGCTGCAATGGAACTGTGTGGTCTATGAACAGAAAACTAGCATTGAAGGTATTTTATCTTTAGGATGTCCTTTAGTTTTTTTCTCCCTTCAGTCTCCTGTGGCTTCTCCATCAGATGCCAAGGATATTTCATATTCATACAAATGCAGGTTCTGAGAGGATAAGCAAGGAGTGGATGAAGGAGGGCTTGAGCCAACTACCCCCATCCTCATGTCATTCATTTATCACTGTGTGTTTGTTTTGTTTTATCCTGCCTTTCTTTTATGGTAGGTAGGCATGCATGCTTCCCATGACCTGTCTTCCAGGAGACAGTGAGGATCTTTGAAATGAAGGAACAGCAGAGGTTCTGTGCACTCAAACCACCCACTAACTGTCGCCATGGGTATTAGTCAAGTATGGAGCATTGGGAAGGATACCCAACTTTCAAATAGACAGTGTCCCTTTAAATGTTTTGCCTGTTACTATGTTCACCACATAGTGAACATAGGGCTGCTAAAAAGGCCCAAGGCAAAAGACTGCCCCCTCCCAACTCTGACATGATAAACAGAGGTGCACCCAAGAGAAAGGCTTACTTAATCTGGACATCGCTTAATAAGCCTTTCTGCTGATATTGGCAACAGGGAAGCCTGCAATATCAGTGATAACCTACGACTGGCTTTGATTCACTTCATTCATTCCTCATTTACTGTACAAGAAACCTGTTGAAAACAAACACATCCAGATAGATTTGAAACTAGTTATAAAATCATTTATAAATACTGAAGTGCTTAATGAATTCTTCTGGATACTCAACTGAAAGCCTAAGCAGACTGCCAGAAATAGTGCACATTAAATTGAG